AAAAGTGGGAGGGGGGCTTTCAGCCTGCGGGGACAGCCCCTCCCCCCCCCAATACCTTGCTCTGAAGACTCTTAATTTGCAAGTTCTGCTTGTCCATCCGGAACTGCTGCTGTTTGATCTTCTGCAGAAGTTCCTCCATCCTCAGGTTCTGGCGCCTGATCAGGTTCTAACAAAGAAAAGAGACAGGGATAGTAAACGCGGTTAGTCTCTCTCTCTCTGCCTCTTTCATTCTCTCTCTCTCCCTCTGTCTCTTTCTCTCTCCTTTTTTCTCACTGCCCCATCTCTCCTTTTTCTTTCAGTCTCTCTCTCTCTTTCATTCTTTCTCTCTCCCTCTATCTTTCTCTCTCCTTCTTTCTCATTTTCTCACTCCCCCCCTCTCCTCTTTCTGTCTCTCTGTCTTTCTCTGTCTATCTCTTCCTCTCTTTTCATTTCATTCTTTCTCTTTCCGTCTTTCTCTCTCCTTCTTTCTCACTCCCCCTCTCCTTCTTTCTGTCTCTCTCTCTCTCTTCTTCTTTCCCTTTCATTCTCTCTCCCTGTCTTTCTCTCTCCTTCTTTCTCACTCCCCTCCTCTCTCCTTCTCTTTCAGTTTCTCTCTGTCTTTCTCTCTGTGTCTTTCTGTCTCTCTTTCTCTTTCCCTTTCATTCTTTCTCTCTCCTTCTTTCTCACTGCCCCATCTCTCTCCTTCTCTTTCAGTCTCTCTCTTTCTCTCTCCCTGTCTCTTTCATTCTTTCTCTTTCCTTCTTCACTTCCCCTCTCCTTCTCTTTCACTCTCTCTCTCTCTTCATTCTTTCTCTCTCCTTCTTTCTCACTCCCCCATCTCTCCTTCTTTTTCTTTCAGTCTCTCTCTCTCTCTTTCCCTTTCATTCTTTCTCTCTCCCTCTCTTTCTCTCTCCTTCTTTCTCATTTTCTCACTCCTCCTCTCTTCTCTTTGTCTCTCTGTGTCTTTCTGTCTCTCTCTCTCTTCCTCTTTTCATTTCATTCTTTCTCTTTCCCTGTCTTTCTCTCTCCTTTTTTCTCACTCCCCCTCTCCTTCTTTCTGTTTCTCTCTCTCTCTCTCTCTTCCTTTCCCTTTCATTCTCTCTCCCTGTCTTTCTCTCTCCTTCTTTCTCACTCCCCTCCTCTCTCCTTCTCCTTCTCTTTCAGTCTCTCTCTGTCTTTCTCTGTGTCTTTCTGTCTCTGTCTTTCTCTCTTTCCCTTTCATTCTTTCTCTCCCCTTCTTCCTCACTCCCCCACCTCTCTCCTTCTCTTTCAGTCTCTCTCTCTCTCTCTCTCTCTCTGTGTGTCTCTCTCTGTGTGCAGGAAGAGAGAGCGGGTGCGATGAAAAACAACAACAAAACAACAAACCCAGAACCCAACTAGCCATCTAAAAAAGACCCGAGCTGGACCACCACTATATTTGGGGCGTGGGGTGAAATCCTCCCCCGCCACCGGAGTCAACCTCAAAGCGCAGAGCCGGACTCGCGGCGGGCGCAGCGGCCGTTTCACTTCGGGGATCGCTTTGCGCAACCAGCGAGCGTCGAGAAACGCTCGAACAGAGGATTTGGGGAGAGGGCGCCAAGTCAGTGTCTTACTTTCAGGGAATTCGCACGTCGTGTGTGTGTGTGTGTGTGTAGTATGTGCGTGTGTGTCCTCTTTGCACCCCTCCAGATCGGCTAGCCGACCCATCCCAAGGCGCTTTTACGCGCCATTTGTGCCTGGCGCACGGCTTTGCCCCGAGGGCTTTGCCGGTTTTTCCAAGCCCCCCGGGGAATCCGGAGCCAGGGCTGGTCTCGGTTTGAATCCGGCTGGGCACAGCTCGGGGAGGTCCCTCGGGGGCCCAGCCCGGTTCCCCGGGAAGATGCCGGTGGAGCCCGTCCCGCCCTAGGGAAAAGGAGCCCCGGGGAAGACCGAGGGGGGAGCGCGCCCGGCGTCCCGCCTGCCCATCCTTCGGACCGCTCTCGGCTCTGAAAGGCGGGATCCGAATCAAGCTGGAAGGGGATCTGGGAGGTCGTCTAGTCCAGCCCCCCTCCCCTGTCGCTCAAGCAGGGGATCGGCCGGGGAGTAAGGCGGCGGCAGCAGACAAAAGGGACCTCTGCCCTCGTGCAGAGTGTGTGCCTGCTCCGAGCCTCCGCCGACGAGGGCGAGCCCAGCCTGCGGGACGCACCTGCAGCGCGCCCTGGTCCTCCTCCTCCTCCGCCGGGCCGTCCCTCCGGGGATCCGCGCCGCCGCCTCCGCTGCTGCTGTTGTTCTGGGCTCCCGCCCGTCCCGTCCCGTCGAGCCTGGCCTCCAGCCCTCGCAGCCGCCCGTCCAGCTGAGCCCAGCGGCCGTCGAAGAGGCTCTGCGCTCGGGCCAGCCGGTCCCGCTGCTCGGCCGCCGTGCGCTCCAGCCCGGCCAGCGAAGCGTTGTGCGCCGCCAGCCGGGCGTTCAGGTCCCGCAGCTGCCCGCCCAGCCGCTCGACGTGCTCGCGGAGCCCGTGGCCCAGCTGGAGCAGCCCGTGCGCCAGGACGTTCACCTCCTCCCACGAAGCCGCCTTCGGGGCTCGAGCCCGCCGCGGCCCCGGAGAAGCCGAGGAAGCCGCCGCCAGCACCAGCACCAGCAGCGCCAGCAGCAGCCGCCTCCGCAGCGCCCGGGAAGGCATCGCGCAGACCGAGAGCCGGAGACGGAGAGACCTGGAGCTCCCCCGCGCGCGCGCTCACACCTCGCCGCCTGCGCCCGCTTTGGAGAGGAGGAGACGGACGCGCCCCCTTTTATAGACGCCGCCCCCCCCCCCCCCCGCGCGCACCTGGCCCGGAGCGCAACCCCCCCCCCGCCCCACCCGCCGTCGCTCCTCCTTTCCTCTCGGAGACAAGAAAGGGCCGCGGAAAGGACACCCCCCCGCCGCCGCGGTGGCCCTGATCCGATCCCGCTTCGCCTTGGCGCCCCTTTTGCCGCTTTGGCTAGGATTTGGGGGAGCCCCGAAGGTTGCAAAGGAAGCAAGAGTTGGAAGGGGCCTGGGAGGTCATCTAGTCCAGCTCCCCCTCCCCCAGGGCTGTCTTCACGCAGAGGCCTGAGAGAGGTCCTTGCCCAGCCTGGGGGGGGAGGGCATACTCATGTGTGTATGGACACTAATCCCGGGAAGGGTTAATATCCCTTTATAAGCAGTGGTGGGATTCAACATTTTTTTTTTTTTACTCCTGGGCCTGTAGGTGTGGCTTGGTGGGCGTGGCAGGGCCTTCCCCTACTACAAAATCTACTACAATAAAAATATATAATAAATATATAATAAAAATATACTACAAAATCCCCCTTCCCTCCCCAGAACCCGGTCAGAACCGGCTGAATACCACCTCTGCTCCCCACCCCACTAACCTGCTTTCCAGCTCCGTTCTTCCTCTGCAGGGCAACCCAAGAAGACCCAGCCGATCAACTGGGGACTGGATGGGAGGCAGAGAAGAGATGGGGTTGGCGGGGCCAGTCAGAGGTGGCATGGGCCGGTTCTCCCAACTGCTCCAAATGTTCTCTATGGGTTCTCCAGAACTGGTCAGAACCAGCTGAAGACCGCCTCTGTTTATAAGGCCTTGTGGTAAAGCCACACTTGGAATACCGCATACGGTTTTAGTCGCCAAGATGTCAAAAAGATATGAAGACTCTGGAAAGAGGGCGGAGAAGAGCAACCAAGAGGATTAGGGGGCTGGAGGCTCAAACGTATAAAAAGAGCAGTTGCAGGAACTGGGTATGTCAAGTTTAATGAAAAGAAGGATTAGGGGAGACAGGATAGCAGCCTTCCAATATCTCAGGGGCTGCCCCAAAGAAGAGGGAGTCAAGCTACTCTCCAAAGCACCAGAAGGCAGGGCAAGAAGCAACGGATGGATGCTAATCAAAGAGAGAAGCAACCTAGAAATTAGGAGGAACTTCCTGACAGGGAGGACAATTAACCGGTGGAACTGCTTGCCACCAGATATTGTGGACGCTTCATCACTGGAGGTTTTTAAGAAGATGTTGGATAACCATTTGTCTGAAGTGGTGTAGGGTTTCCTGCCTAGGCAGGGGGTTGGACTAGAAGACCTCCAAGGTCCCTTCCAACTCTGTTATTCTATTCTATGTTAACCCTTCAACGCACCATGTATCATACCAATACAGCAAAGTGTTTATTACATTTTACTGCCTTTTTTTATTCATTCTAGCATGCAAAAATATATGTTTCATTTTATCGACCATTGACATTTGTATTCTTGTGAGTCGATGTTGCAGGGGCCCCAATACGCTGCTTTGCCCCACAGCCCATAATGCTGTTAAGATGGCCCTGCAAACCCCCCTCCCCAAACAGGAGGCCCTACACCATTTCGGACAAATGGCAGTCCGCTCTCTTCTCGAAAGCCTCCAGGGATGAAAGAGGTCGCCCAAGTGCCCGAGTCCCTGATTCCCATTCCGATCAATCAACCGATCGATCGATCAGAATACATTTGGATGGGACCTCAGAGGTCTTCTAGTCTGACCCCCTCCCTGCTTAAGGGGAGACCCTATACTATTTCAGACAAGCGGTTGTCCATTCTCTCCTTAAATAGCTCCAGTGATGGAGCCACCACAACTTCCGGTGGCAGGTAGTTCCACTGGTTCATTGTCCTCTCTGTTAGGAAGTTTCTGCTTAATTCCAGGTTGCTTCTGTCCTTGGTTAGTTTCCATCTGTTGCTTCTTGTCCTGCCTTTTTGGTGCTTTGGAGAATAAATTGACCCCCTCCTCTTCTTTGAGGGAAGCCCCTCAAATACTGGACTATTGCTATCATGTCACCCCCACAGTCCTTCTTTTCTCTGGACTGGCCAAACCCAAATCCTGCAGCTGTTCTTCATGTTTTAGTTTCCAGGCCTTTCATCATCTTTAGTTGCTCTTCTTGCCACTTTTTACAAATTCTTTTTTTTTATAACATGGGGACCAAAATTGGATGGAGAATATTCCAGCTACGGCCCGACTTTTATAACATGGTACTAATCATACTCCGCATGATTTTGATTCTATGATTTATTTATTTTTTGGAAATCAATACACTTTTAATAAACAAGTCATGCAATACATGGGATAGATCTGAAAAAGAAGGATCTTTATATCTAAATAACCAGTGTCTTAACCAGTATCCACCATAGGGGCTGATATTTCTTGTCTTTTTTAAATTAATTTTTATATATATATTTGATCCGTCCTTGGAATCTCTCTGAGCTGGACTGAGCTTTTGGGAAAAGAAGGTAGGACTTGTTGCGTTGCAGAGAAGAGGAAAGAGAGCCAAAGCTTTGTGAAACTGACTCACCCCCCTATTTTTCTCCATCCCTTTCTCTGCATGTGCGCAAGGATCTCTTCCAGCGCCTCCAGCCATTGCTTCCTACGTGGCCTCCGCTTGCTTAACAATCTCACCTGGGATCACCTTTTACAGGAATCCAGCAAAACTTTCCAGCATCGCAGCTCCTGCCTTTGAATAAAATTTGAATCCAGGAAAAGGGACCTTCCAGGCTCTTCCTGCTGGGCGACTGCCATAAATTACAGGTAGTCCTACGACTTATGACCACAAGGGAGGCCAAGTGTTGCTAAGCAAGATGGTTGTTAAGCAAGTTTTGCCCCATTTTAAAAACCATTCTTGCCACAGTTGTTAAGTGAATCTGGCTTCTCCCATTGCTAACAGATAATCTGAGTTGGGAGGAACCTTGGAGGTCATCTAGTTAGTCCAACCCCCCTCTGCCCGAGCGGGAGACCCTACACCATTTCTGACAAATGGCAGTCCAGTCTCTTCTTGAAAGCCTCCAGGGATGAAGCTCCCACAACTTCTTTCTTTCTTTCTTCTTTCTTTCTTTCTTTCTTTCTTTCTTTCTTTTTCTTTCTTTCTTTCTTTCTTTCTTTCTTTCTTTCTTTCTTTCTTT